GCGCCATTGCACTCCAGCCTGGGTAACAAGAGCGAAGCTCTGTCTCAAAAAAACAAAAAAAAAAAAACAAAAGAAATGCTCTCTGTCTCCCCAGAAAGCCTGTTTTCCAGCCCCAATGTGGGGAGGGAAGCATACTTACACTGGGAGTCTTGTCCTGGGTACAAAGACCTTCAGCACAAAGCTGGCGTTGGATCTCCCAGGCAAAGAGGGCCGGACACTCACCCTTCAGCTGGGCAATTCGAGCCACCACTGGGGGTGTAGCCAGCCGTGGCTTGCTTCCCCCAATGCCCTTGGGCTCCAAGACACCTGTGCGGTAGTAACGCCCTAGGATCTTGCTCACACAGCCGTTAGATACCTGAGGCAGATGAGAAGCAGGGACAGGTGAGGCATAATGGGCAGAAGGAGGGAGAGAGTCCCTGGGACAAGAGGAGGCTACAAGACAAAGCCAAGACTTACTGGACCAGACCATGAAGTTGGGAGTCCAGCCTCACCTTTGAGGGCCCGAAGCTCCCCTTTTCAACCTCCAAGAGGGTCTCCCAGGAAGTGACCCAAGTCCCAAAAGCCCTCCAAACCTGCAACAGCACCAGGCTCTTGCTTTCAGAGGAGCCCCTTCTCTCTGCTTCCTGTCCCTATCACTGTGTGAAGGTGCTGGCTCATTACCTTCAGGCTCCGTGAGATGTCACAGGGTCGCATTCCACTGACTGCCAGCCGCACAATCTGCTGCCGGGTATCCAGAGGCAGGGGCCGGCCATTCACAAAGAGCCCCCCGAGCTGGTTCATGCTACTGATCCCTGGGCGTGAGACAGAGGTATCCACACACCACCTCTCCGACTGCCCTGCCCCGCTGTGGAAAGGATTACTCAGGCCCCTCCAGCTTGGCTTCCCACCACAGAGAACATCTTCTCCTGGGAGACCGCGTTCTTGCTGCCCCCAGGCAATCAACGCAAGTTACTTTCTTAGGGAGCTGGCTCACAGGTGAGTCTTTGTTCCTTGCCTGTACCCGCAGACTCTCCTGATCTAAGGAAAGCAGGACAGGGCAGGAAGGGAGGGACTGGAAAAAGCTTCCCTAGAACACCGACCAATGGCAGATGAAACGGCTGATGGAAACAAAGCCCTGAGGATTCCCCTGTCTCTGTTGTCCTCCCTGTCTTCCCACTTCCCCCAGGCTCCTCACCGTCCTGCTGCATGCTCCAGGCTGACGCTCCTCACAGAAGGATGAGCCACCACTGGGAAGCCTGGCAAGGGAAGTTCCTTCTAGGAGCTCCTTTTCCAGCTTGGGACCCAAGTCTGCAATAACGGGGCGGGTTGGGGGTTACTTGGGTGAGGTCTTTCACTTGAAATGGTCTTGGGAGGTAGCGTCTTGTGATAGAGATCAGGTTTCTAAAATTTGCCTGTGGGTTGGCTAAAATTAGAAAATTTGAATTTCTTTTATTTAAACCTTTATGTGATAAAAACTAAAACACTGCAGGTTGGCTGGAGACTGGATCTTTCTTGAAGTCCTAACAAGGGCTGGGAGGATTGGAAGGATTCTCATTTCCCACACATTCATTACAAAAGGTTGGGGTGGTAGAAAGCGATGATGCTTTCAAATGCTCAAGCTTTCCCTTTTTCAAATGGGCAGCTGTTGTCTCCAACTGCTCCTAAGCCTTCTCAGTCCTAGATGACACACCTGAGCCAAAGATTCTGGGGACCCCAAGTTCAGGGGTCCGCCTTCACTATTAGACAGTCTCAGTTGGGCTCTCCAAACTGCCAGCCAAATGCTGCACTTCAAAAGGGCTTGCTCCTGTGTTTTTTATACTCTCCAGGAAGCTCTGGGGAAACTGGAGTTCGGCTCTACCCCCCAGGCACTGAGGCCCTGGTCCTACACACTGGGCATAGAGATGAATACACCTGAAGTGCCAGCTTCTCCTAAGAGGCACATTCTTAGCATCTCTAACCTGCTGCGGTTGTTCATTCCTATTAACTCTGAAGAGTTCTAGATCTCACAGTGAAGCTTCAATGTCAGAGACCACCTTTCTGGTATCAGACACTCATTCATTCAACTAATCCCTTTATCAAAGGCATATTGAAGGGAGGAGATCAGAAGCAGGATAGAACTGTTTGCTGACCAACACAGAAACCATCATGAGCCCAAGGGAGTCTCTGAGCAGAAAGGGACACAGGTCCACAGGCCACCATACCTCTCCTACATTCATCAGTAGTTAATGAGAGATGAAGATGCCTCCTTTCATGCCTGGAACCCTGGTAGAGCTGGAGGTCACCCCAAGGAACAGCTTATGCACAGAACTTTCTTGTAATAAGCATGCCATCTTGGCTCAGTTAATTCATCTGCAGTTATATGCTGAATAAGATATTAAGCATGAGCACGTTGCTGGTTGTTCAGAATGAAGGCAGTAAACAGAAAAGGGTAAGGTCTTTGCTCTCCAGTGGATTACAGACCAACTGGAGAAAGAAGACTAGCACCAGTGAAACAAAGAATTACAAAGAAGGCCGGGCGCGGTGGCTCAAGCCTGTAATCCCAGCACTTTGGGAGGCCGAGGCGGGTGGATCACGAGGTCAAGAGATCGAGACCATCCCGGTCAACATGGTGAAACCCCGTCTCTACTAAAAATACAAAAAATTAGCTGGGCATGGTGGTGCGTGCCTGTAATCCCAGCTACTCAGGAGGCTGAGGCAGGAGAATTGCCTGAACCCAGGAGGCGGAGGTTGCGGTGAGCCGAGATCGTGCCATTGCACTCCAGCCTGGGTAACATGAGTGAAACTCTGTCTCAAAAAAAAAAAAAAAAAAAAAAAGAATTTGGAATCCGGAGTCTGCTTATTAAGTTCAATAGCTAAAATGGCTTTTACTCACTTTTTTCTAGGTAGGTAGAGGCACAGAGCCCTTCAAATCTTCATCTTTCCAAAAAGTCAAGCAGAAAGGCAGAGGTTTTCCAAAGAGAAAACTGAGGCACAGATTGGGATTGCCACAAGTCAGGGGCTGTCCAGAGAGTTAAACTCAAGGTTTAGAAGTCAGTTCCTCACCAGAAGCTACAACTTCTGGCTCCTAATCCTGGGCTCTCTTTCTCTGCTCCCACCCCTGCTTCATGTTTGTATAATTGCCACAAAAACAATGGAGAGAGGAGAGTCAAACAGAGAATGCAAAGGACTGCGCCAAGACAGGATGAAAGAGTTCAAAATATCAGCCAAACCCTAAATCCCTGACAGGACTCAGTTCTCCTAAGTGACCAGAATACAAAGAAGCAGTGGGGATGCAGGTTCAGTATCCAAACCCAAATAATCTCCAAACCTAAGTCATTATGCCCCAACTCACAAACAGAAACCCCATCTCAAAAGCCACACCACACATTCCCAACATTCACATTAACATGTCTGAAAAAATAACTGGTGCTTGCAAGATGGAAAAACAGGAAAAGGGGTGGAAAGGGCAGGAGGGTGGTAGCTGCAAAGACAGAATGGGAGAGAAGTTGGGTTTGGCCACGCAGAGGCATGGAGACAGCATGAGAGGCAGGGCAGACAATGAGCCTGAAGGTGAGCTACCTGTGTGGAGGAGATGAGGTGGGAGCTTCAGTGGGAGGGCTCAGCTTCTGAGACCCCTGCAGGCTCCAGGGGTGATGATGGTCTGGTCTTAGTAACAGCCTCCACTCTGCTCCTGCTTCAGCCCTGCCAGGGGGTCCAGAGCTACAGAGAGCCCGAGCTCAAGAGCAGAGGGCAGCCTTCTGGGAGTAGCCAATGATGTCACAGGCCATGAGCAGAGGAGAGAGGAGGAGGGAGGTGTGCATGGGCTGACAGACACCAGCCCTGAGGCAGGGCAAACCACAGCCAATGACCCACTGTGTCCTTCCGTGAGGAATCCTCAGAGCCCACTTTGTGTCCCTGAAGCAGAGACAGAGCCATTCTCATGCAGGAAAAAGTGCACCCACACAAGGACCAGTACTCCTGAAGGATACGCTGAGCATGGAAAATGGGGAACTTCAGGCTGTGTCCTTAAGGCTTTGAATGCACGGAAGCAAAAAGATGCCTTCCCAAACCACCAACACAGCTTCCCAGCCACAATGCACATGCCTGGGCTTTGGAGTCAACTCCTGAGTCGTGTGTGTTACTGTAAAAGAGAAATGAATGTACAGACTGTTGCCTAATACTGACTGAATTGGCTCCTAGCACTCTAAGACAATGAGAGTGAATGGAGAATAGTGTGTGTCCCCTAGCACCAGCTGTCCCCAGAGAGTGTCCTCACCAATTCTCCAATTGACTCCTTGACTGAGGTGACAACAAGCGTGAATTCTTGCCTGGAAATGGGAGGATCTCGGACTTCAGAACACTGACAATGGGAGTGGTGGTGGAAATGAGCCTCAGCATAGTCAGAGATGCATGTGGGTGTTTATAAGGACGCTTGCAGCAGGATTTTCCTCCTTCCATCTTTAGATGTTATCAGACTCCATTCTGTTAGGGATTTGATGCTTTTAGACTCTACGTCAGTAATGGCACTGTTGTTACCACAAGACACTACAGGTTATCTGGGTCCCTGGTGAGGCGAGAGGCATCAGTAGCTGGCCAGGTGGTAGTGGGGTGCTGGAAGTGAGACGCAGCCTCTAGTGCATGGAAGCTTCGTTGCCAGCCATCAGGGTCTTGGGCAGATCCCTGGGGGTGTGAAGGTGCTAACATGGAAAACTCTTTGGGTCCATTCCACACCTCAGAGTCTGTGAAGCCATTGCCAAAGTCAGATTGGAAGCAGGCAGGGTGTAGGGCAATAAAACTAGACCCAGAAATCAGAGAATGGAAGACTGCATTTCATTGTAAATGCTTTGAGGTTTTGGGGTGAAAGTGATTGTTGTGAGTTCAGCTTGATCCTAGGCTTGGGAAATCTTGCTCTCAAAGGCCAAATGTCTCACATAAATGGGTTTTCCCTTTACCCTGACACTTACTCTCTTCCTCTTCCACCCTCCTCCAGCATCCTCGGGCTGATATTGGGGTACAGGGGAGACTGACTGCAGAGGGTGATTTCAGGACCTCAGGCAGGACAGCATTTGCCCAAGTGCCCTTACAGTCATTCCATCCCAGGGAAGCTGGGGACTGCTGGTCACTCTACTTAGCCATGCCTGGGTGGGAGGAAGTCCCCAGCAAGGCCTGTGGTAGCCCTCCTCTTAGTCCCCCGTCCCTGCCTCATTCCTCCCTGCTAGATGTGCCCCTGCATGTAGGGGCTCAAGTCTCATGTCCTGACCAGCTATTCCTATAGACAGCTGCATGAGGGTGGAGATAGGGGTATCAGGGGGAGCAGGGACAAGCCCTGGCAGATGGTGGTGGCAGCGATTTACCCCATAAACTACCCTCTCCCTCCGCCTTTATGACGCCCTCTTGGGTCTGAACAAACAGAGGCTTTCTACCCAGAGGTGATGGGGGAGGGAAAAGTGGTAAAGGGCCCTGGTAGGGGGGCCTAGCCAGCCCAAAGGCTCTGCCACTCAGCCCTCTGCCCAGCGCACTAGACTGTTTGAGGAGCAAATATCTGCCTTCACTGTCTGACTCTCTCAACCACCCCCACCAGGTTTGGGGCTAATTGTCCCTCATTAGCTGGGCCCAGGCCCCGGGCTGCCGCCAGCCCCCGCCATCTGCTCACAATTATACATTAACTCAAAGGTCTTGCCACCCGCCAACAGGCTGTGCGCCCCTCTCCGAGGCCAGCCATGGCCATTCCAGCTTGTCCCTCGCCCTGATGTAGAGCCCTGATCGCTAGCTTCTTTTGCCCTTAGGACTCCCTGGTAGAAAGGCCCGTGTCTGTAGGGAAAGTCTTGTCCTTAGGAGAGGCGGCTGGAGTTCCCCTGCCTTCCCCAAGGGACCAGAGGGCGAGCCAAGGCCGTGCGTAAAGCTGGAGAAGACTGGGCGCGGCCAGCGCAGAGACACGCTGGCGCTGGTCTGACACCTCGACTCGGGCTCTTGGCACCTGCTGTGGGAGTTGACACCAGCTCTAGGCTGTTTCCATTCCTCTGGTGCATTTTTGTAGGCTATGGGATCCTGGCCCCCTTCTTCTCTTTCTCAGGAAAGCCCCATCTCCTGCCAGCCCTCAGCTTTCCAGAGCGCACGCGCCACTGTCCAAAACCGCTCCGGCGGCCTGTGCCTCCCACTTTAAAGTCAAAGTGATTTGCTTGCTACAAAAACACGGGAGCTCTTCGAGTTCCCTGAAAATTCTGAAATTGAGACCCTCACGCTAAAGTCGCGCCACCCCCCCCCCCCAAAGCTTTAGGCAGTTACCCTACTCTCCCAGCCCAGCCCCT